CGATCGCAGCGTGGCCCTGTAGGCGGCATCTTTTTTCTCTGCAGCTTCCTGACACTCCTCATCGTACCAGTTGTTTTTTCGGGCTCGCTGAATTCCGACTACTTCGGCGGCGGTACTTAATGAGCGGGAAATGTGGTTCCACTGCCCGCATATGTCGGTTTGTTGAAGAGTGCTTTCTGAGAGCAGGTGTGAGAGTCGAGTAGGGAAAGAGCTGGCTGTCTGGTGCGATTGCTGCTTTTCGACGTTAAGCTTTCCTTGCATATTTGGGCGCATATTTTTTGCTGCGCAGAGGCGGGTGCGTATCTTGGCTGCAACAAGATAGTGGTCCGAGTCGATGTTTGGGCCTGGGAGTGTGCGTACGTCTAGAACACTGAAAGCGTGCCTTCCGGCTATCACAACATGATCGATTTGGTTTCTCGTTTTTCGATCCGCAGCTTCGGCGATGTCGATCAGCCTCAATCCGTTGTCGGACGTTTCGTCATGGAGGCTGAATTTTCCGACGGTAGCTCCAAAGATCCCTTCCTTGCCCACCCTAGCATTGAAGTCGCCAAGCACGATATTGATATCATGACGGGGGTAGCGCTCGTACGTGCGCTCCAAGCGCTCATAGAAGAGATCCTTGGATGCCTCATTCTTCTCTTCCGTCGGGGCATGGGCGCAGATGAGCGAGATGTTGAAGAATCTCGCTTTGATGCGGATTGTGGCTAGACGCTCGTCCACCGGGGTGAACGACAGTACGCGGCGACGGAGTCTCTCTGCCACCACAAATCCAACTCCGAATTTGCGATCCTTTACATGGCAACTGTAGTAGACGTCGCAAGGCCCCAGACATTGCTTACCTTGCCCCGTCCAACGCATTTCTTGGATGCCGGTGATGTCAGCTTTTGTCCTTACGAGGACATCAACGAGCCGGGCAGAGGCACCTACCCCATTAAGGGTCCGGACATACCAGGTACATGTCCTCAAATCGTAGTCCTTTAAACGTTTGCCGTGGTTGTATTTATAAGGGGGGTCTCATCCGAGGCTTTGCCTTGCTTCTTCACTGGAAGTGGTTTTTACGTGGCGGGTCCCATTGCTGGGACGAGGGTTATTTCGCAACCAAATACACGTTTATATAGCGAGTCGCTTGCTCCAAGCAGACACCCGCTTGCAACCGCACCTACTGGTGAACAGACGCTGCAGACTTCAGTGAGCCTTTGAACCGAATAAGTCGTAGTGGCCCCACCGAATCTCCTTCTCTTTCTGCCGTGACCCAAGGCTCCAGTCGGACTGGTTACCGCATCTCGCGCATGGGTTGCTCACGTTGCCCAGAGTGCGCGAACGAGGACGCAGGAGTCGGGATTGAGTATAGCCATGCAACTGTAACTGCATACCCGGCGCAGCGACTATACCCCATTGCACTCCACTCTCCTATTACCCCACTGTCCACTCATACTATTGCTTGTATGAAAATTTGGAACTTATATGAGTTAATAAAACTAGTACTTGTATGAAAATTAATGAAATTGTATGAGTTGGTAACCTTAATACAAGCTATATTTTGTACGGTTTTGTATAATTATTCGTTGTATAAAAAAATTTAACAGAGCCGAAAATATATGGGAAAAATATGAAATTGTTAGTTATGAAATTTCAGCAAAATAGTGCATGTAAGAAACATTAGATATTTATTCGATTTTTATATAATTTATATTGAAAGTGATCATTTAGAAAAGTAATAAACAATACTGTTCTATCAAACAGCTAACTGCTAAACAAGGCTGTTCTATTAAACAGCTAACTGCTAACTGCACAAAAGTTGCATTCAAAAAGGTGTGCTAATCCATTTACAGGCCTATTCTGCTCAATCAAACACAATCAAACACAATATGAAAAGTGATGAAATTAAAGGATTTCTAGAAAGGAATTTTAAATATATATTAGACCATCATAGAAGCATTATACAAAATGGATGTACATATATTAATGGAACAGATGGAAAATGGGTCTTGGATAAAATCTATATATGGGAAACATTTTACGATCTGTCCTTGAAGTAATAATGATACTGAATACGGAGCTGATACATGTAATAGGTTTTTCATAGAAAGACAACATAAAAATGTTGTGAAATTAATAAATTTATATAATAACTATTATAATGAAGAAAACAAGGAAAATATTGATTTAAAAAATCTTATATGTGAGATTAATATATTCAATAAAAAAATGTCCAAATAAAACAATAAAACACATATGTATGTATATACTATCATTGAAAAATTAAACGAATTTTATATTTGTTCATTAAAAATGTTAGCAGCGGAATTGGGAAAATTATTAAATATATAAAGTTGCTATATTGAATAGGGTCATGTTAAACTTTTCATAGCCATAATCAACAAAAAAATTTCCTATTATAACATACTATACAGGGGAGCATATGTATTCGGGTGGTCCAAAAAAAATTCCTTGAACGCGTGTTCGCTTATTTCATGTATAGGAAATCTGATCTTGGTCGGAGAGCAACAGTATCCACAATTGAGTTGCACGCTGAATTTCAAAGGGTGCATCTGAATCGACTTGAAACAATTGAAAAAGTATTACATGATTTTATAATGCAAGCAAAGGGTGGCCACTGTTTACCTTCAATTGCCAAAGTTTACGCGCTAACGTACAGGATCTTCAATTAGACAGCATCATCGTCGAATTTTATAATTCTTTCAGAGACGTGGGTGGATAATGAGAAATCTTTAATTTAAAAGCCGGCGGAGCTGTAATCCACCATAACACACATGATGGAGTTCGTATAGTTCTCCACAAATAGAATTCAATGACAAAAACTGGAATCATTAGCCTGTTCGTGTACGCACTATCCAGTAAAATCGAGTACTAATTTTACTGGTTTTTACTGGATGGTGTTTTCGTACCCAAAAACTTGCAAGAAACCAGGAAAAGAGTGAGAATTGAGAGAGCAAAAATGACAGCTGAACTTGCAAGTTTTACTGGATTTTTACTAGATAAATTTTTACTAGTAACTATTTGCTAGTAAGAAAAATAGCTGATAGCATGATGCTTAATGCGATTCACATTACCAACAGAATTGTTTGTGGTGCTTTTAGTGTTGCAATTGGCAAAATAAACCTATTTAAATAAATATTAAGATGGGTTGTTCCGGAATAGAATGCACGACATATTCATTAACATTATAAACCATCAAAATATTTTGATTCTATTTTTAAATCTTATTTGAAAAGGATTAATGCGCAACACTGAGACTGGGCGAACTTAGTACAACTACGCGGCCGCCTGAAAGGCTCAATTTCGCGCACGCTGGCCTACGCAGAAAGGCCACCGGTGGACTGCACAGTGGAAGATGTGTCTTCGCGCTTGGAACGTTTACAGGAGCTCTGGGAAGAGTTCACCATCATAACCACAGCGATGTATAAGTTTAGCAATGAAGCAGATTATACAGATCCAAACGCGGACTTTGAAATATACGAAGACAAGGTTATGTCAGCACGTGGTCGGCTTCGCACATTGCGTAACGAGTTGCAACCACCGGTTAAAGAAGAGCAGTCAATCTCTCTTGCGAAATTAGTTGAACAGCAAGCATCATTTTTGCAACAGTTCACGGCGGCGCCCATACAGGCAGCTGCACCCAAAGAAAACGACTTGCAAAAAATTATTATACCGCCGTTTACGGGCTAGTATAAGGTGTGGCCGTCGTTTAAAGACCTCTTTGTTAATGCTGTCCATGAAAAAGCTAACCTCACTAACACGCAGAAGTTCCACTATCGGAAATCGTTTTTAAAGGAAGAGGCCGCGCAAATGTTAATGCATATTCCAGTGACTGATAAGTCTTACGATACGGCATGGGCACGGTTAAACGAATGATACGACCGACCGCGTCATATTGTCGCATTATTTATTGAAACCTTTGTGGCGCTGCCCTCAACCATTAATGAGGACGTAAAAGCTTTACGCAAAATTTCTGATGGTGCCAACGAGGTTATACGAGGCTTGGACGCTATCGGAAGGGGTGAGCGCGACTGCTGACTGATCTACTGGCTGGAGTCCAAGTTAGACACTAAATCGAGATGTAAGTGGATTGAGGAGAGCAAAGAGGTGAGTGTGCCTACAAGTACTGAATTTTTTAAGTTTTTGGACTCTCGCTGCGATGAACTTGAATTGGCACACCCAAAGCCCTCTTCAAATGGCAAGATCTCCCCACCATCCAGCAACAAATCACGTAATTCTACCGCACGGGCATTTGTTTCCATCGACGATTGCAGCGCAACTCATAAATGCATCAAATGCGGTTCCACGAATCACACAATTCCAAAATGTCCAACCTTTTCAAACATGTCTATTCAAGATCGACGTCTGCTAGTCAAAGACAAATCGCTCTGTTTCAATTGCCTAAGGGCAGGGCATACGTCGAGTACCTAAGTTTCGTTGCAGACGTTGCAACCGACGACACCACACAATATTACACGCCGAGTCTTCTCTTGCGCCCACAACAGCAGGTAAACCTTGGTCTACCGCAGCTCATGTTTCACAGCCATCGTCTTCGTTCGTCACTCCTATTGACTCAGACGCACTTCCTGTTTCCGAAAAGTATCGTAAGGCTCTATTACCTACCGCACTAGTCAGCGTTCGCACTGCTCACGGTCACTTCATTCCATGTCGAATGCTAATCGAATCTGCTTCCGAACTTTCCTACATATCGGAGCGTTGTGCACAAAAGCTTGGCATTCCACGCTCACCATCTCGAAGCTGAGACAACGTGTGGTCGTATTTCCTTATTCATTAAGTCACGTGTGTTTGAAAATACCCTCGCCGTAACCGCTCACGTGTTAAGTAACATAACTACGAGGTTGCCAGCGACAACCATTGACATAAGCTCCCTAACGCAATTGCAAGGCATCCAACTGGCTGACCCCACTTTTCACATTTCGTCAAGAGTGGATATTCTTCTGGGAACTCAGCATGTCTGGGATATCTTCACTTTTAACAAAATGGCCGACGACGTCGGCAACCAATTCGCTATCTCGACAATTTTCGGCTGGGTTATCACATCTATTAATTCTGTGGGAGAAATTTCTTCCACCTCTTCCCATATTACGGTTTCGGATGTAGATCATACACTGCGCAAATTCTGGGAGATCGAGGAATCCAAACCACCTCTGCCAATGGAATCCGATGACCTTTTGGTAGAAGAACATTTTCAGAGTACAGTATGCCGCCAGACGGATGGCAAATATTCTGTTGATCTTCCTTTTAAGGGAAAACCACCGCATTTTTCAAACACCTCACAGGGAGCAGTGTCTGGGTTCCATGCAGTAGAACGGCGCTTGTTAAAGAATACGCCGCTCAGACATCAGTATATACAGTTTATGCGACAGTACGAGGCATTAGGACAAATGCAAGCAATAGAAGAATGTCATGGTATATCTAATGATGGTCACGTATTTTATCTACCACATCACCCAGTCCTCGGTAAAAAGCTTACGGTAGTTTTCGATGGATCATACGCTGACACTATGGGGGTGTCTCTTAACAGCTCGTTACATGCAGGGCCAAATATACAACGTAACCTGTTTGCGGTTTGCTTAAGATTTCGCTTTCATCAGTTCGTATTCACGGCGGACACTGTCAAGATGTTTCGCCAAATATGGATCTCTGAATATCATCGCGACATTCAAAGGATTATATGGAGGGAAAGTCCTGACTTGCCTCTTAAACATTATCGGTTGAACAGTGTTACCTATGGAAATGCTTGTGCACCATTTCTGGCAGTAAGCGTTCTGCAGCAGCTGGCTCATGACTCCAAGGAACAGTTTCCCCGCGCGAGTAGCATACTGCTGGAGGACTTTTATGTAGATGACGTGCTGACGGGGGCGGCCTCGGAGACGGAGTTAGTGGAAAGACGTGATGAGTTGGTTCAGCTGTTTAAAAGCGGAGGTATGGAATTGAGCAAGTGGGTATCCAACTCGACTCAAATCACTTCGTACCAGTCCGTTCACCATGAGATGTTCTCAGAAGAAACTACAAAGGTACTTGTTTGTACTGGAGCCCTGAGGAAGATACATTGACGTACCGAGTTCAACTCTCCACCACAGCTGTGGCTAGCAAGAGACACGTTTTGTCAGCTGCTTCACGCTTGTTCGATCCTTTAGGTCTCTTGCCTCCTATTGTAATGCGCTTTAAGGTAATGTTTCAAGCCCTCTGGCTCCAAAACCAGGGCTGGGACGATCCACTGCCTACACACTTGGCTAAGCTGTGGGCGGCATATCAGGAAGACATTCATCATGTACGCGATCTAACTATTGCCCGTTTCGTTCCTAATAGTGCCACCGAATGGGAGCTTCATGCGTTTTCAGGTGCATCACTTAAAGCATATGCAGCCGCGGTCTATTGCCGTTTCGTAAACGACACAGGCCAATCCAACGTTTCTCTGATAGCTGCAAAAACTCGCGTGGCACCATTGAAAACAGTTTGTTTGCCGCGGCTCGAGCTATGTGGGGCACTATTGCTTACATGTTTGGTTAAGGTCATTCTTGACTCAATGCCACACCGAACTATCAGAATATATGCCTGGTGTGACTCTATGATAGTTATGTCATGGCTTTCCATTCCTCCAGTAAGGTTGAAGACCTTCGTTGCTAACAGAACCAGTGAAATTCTGGATACCCTTCCACGGAACGTGTGGCACAATGTGGCATCAAAGGACAACCCAGCAGATTGTGCCTCACGCGGAATGTCAGCTGCTGCGCTAACAAATTTTGAGTTATGGTGGAAGGGACCAAGTTGGTTAAGCAGCGGGGAGAAACTCAACAATCTTTTAAGTAAGAACATTTTTCCCACTCCTCACATAGACCCAAACGTTACAAATGAAGTTAAAGGTACCACCGTTACCATGGTATCCATGAACGAAAACGATATATTAAACACTCTCATTGAACGTGTATCTTCGTGGCAGCGTCTTTTACGAACCCTTTCGTATGTGCATCGCTTTATTGACCGTTTACGCAAACGCGCTCCACACACCACATCAATAAGCTTGACCTTCGACGAAATTGATAATGCGCGTAACGTACTTCTGCGTCATGCCCAAGCCTGTTTCAAGGACGACATCGAGTCCCTGAAGTGCCAACAAAACATAATTAACCGCTCAAGAATCATTAAATTAACACCGTTCTTAGACGATAAAAACCTTTTTCGAGTAGGTGGACGGATCTCCAACTCCGACTTGGATATGGAGGCCCAAGCATCCGATCAGTCTACCTAAACGACACAAGATCACTCATACTATACTGACTTATGAGCATCATCGTCATCTCCATCCAGGAGTTTCAGCACTCTTCCTAATAGTACGACAGCATTATTGGATATTAGGGGCAAGGAATTTAATCCGAAGAATCACGCACGCTTGTTTAAAATGCTTTCGTCAACGGAATTCGAACACCCAGCAATTTATGGCTGACCTTCCTAAAATTCGTGTACAACGAGCATTTCCATTCCAACACAACGGATGTGTTTACGCGGGACCGATAACCATGAAACTTTATCGAGGCAGAAACGCTCGTCAGTCAAAAGGGTACATTTGCATATTTGTTTGTCTCGCCACGACAGCTATCCATATAGAGTTGGTAACAGATTTGTCTACGGATGGATTCCTATCAGCACTTCGCCGCTTCATGTCACGCAGAGGCAAATGTACACAGCTGTTCAATGACAATGGACGCAATTTTTTGGGTGCTTCACGTGCTCTCAACGAAATGCACCAGGCGTTACTATCGCAGGTGCACAACGAGACAATTGCGGAAGTTTTGGCAGGAGAAGGTATTCGATGGAACTACATACCTCCTCACGCACCCCACTGGGGCGGTATATGGGAATCGGCGGTTCGATCTGTTAAACTCCATCTGCGCCGCGTCATTGGCAACACACTTCTTACAACTGAGCAACTTACTACTGTCCTGACGCAGATTGAAGCTGTTGTTAACTCCCGGACACTCGGTGTGACACCTGATACAGATAATTACTATTTATCACCTTCCCATTTTCTTATAGGGCGTCCGCTTATTATGGTACCTGAAGGTAGTCTACAAGACATACGCGAGAATAAGCTCGACTACTGGCAACATGTTCAAAACATGTATCAAGGCTTCTGGCGACGCTGGCATAGGGAATACCTGACTTCTTTACAAAATCGACCTAAGTGGAATCGGCGCACGCCGAACATTGCTATCGGGGACATTGTTCTTGTAAAGGAGCCCAATACACCACCAGCGGTATGGCCTATGGGAAATGTAGTGGAAACTTATCCAGGTGCTGATGGCCTCGTACGAGCAGTCAGACTTCGGACCGCTCGAGGGGAAGTTACACGTCCCATCACCAAGCCATCCATTTAACCCTTATTCTGAAACGCTGTTTCAGTGGCTGCCGGGATGTTCCGGAATAGAATGCACGACATATTCATTAACATTATAAACCATCAAAATATTTTGATTCTATTTTTAAATCTAATTGTAAAATGATTAATGCGGCAACACTGACGCTTAAACGATTTTCTTGATGAACTGCACTACACGGCAGCACTGCTTTTACTAATTCTCTTTTACATGGCATTCGCATAACTTAAAGGAATCCATTTGCATTGTACCTGTTTATTCTCTCTCGGTCAAGCGCATTCCGGAAATAAAGTCAAGTTTTGTTAAAATTAGAATTTCGTTTTATTCATCAACATGGGTAATACTATTTTTCTTAGAAAATTGCATCGGAAAACAACAAATCAATCAGCTGTTCATAATACTTGCAACTTCTTGCTGGTTTTGCGTTTTCGTTTTTTCTTGCATATCTCTCTCATTGCGAGTAAATATTGGCTTACTCTCCGAAAGTTGGTTACTGGCAAGTTACTGGAAATTTTTTGCTGGAGAATACGAAAACATAACCAATGACTGTTCAAATTTGCTTGTGGAAGCAGGTTGGACCATGAGCAAATAGTTATAATTTTGGCAATTCATATTTCTCCCGATCAACTAGTAAATAAAATTATTGAATTCAAGAGAGTATAACAAACTACACACCAGAAGTATCGCGGATCCTTAAAAAAAGACTGCAATAATGCTCTTATGTTTTTTTGAAGTGAAACTTCTTAGGCGGCGGTATCGCAAAAATGGAGAGTGAAATTTTTAAAAGCTGAAAACGTTACATGAGTGAGAAGGAAGATATAGGTAGTATAGGGAAGGGGAAAAAAGAAATAAAGCAATGAATTACGGGTACGAGTACCCTCATATGTATATATGTATGTTTGAATGCACGTATGTATGTATACATATATATATGTATACATATTTATATATGAATGTATGAACGAACTCATTGCGCATTTCAGCTCTGCCGCTCCCAAGCAATATATGTATAAATGATGCAAGCGTCCATTCGTACATTTGTACATATGTTTGTATGGATATATTTATGATGAAGCAAACGTGCTTCGCTGAAGCACTGATGGGCATATGTATGTACTAATGGACAGCAATGTTTTCATGTATGTACATATGTTTGAATGGTTGTATGTATATATATTTGTATGTATGAACATATATTTGTATGTATGAACATATGTTTGTGTACATGTATATATGCATATATGTAGTACAAACGAAAACGAATCTAATAAGCTGCTCGTTGATATAAATGCGAACTGTACTGATTGTCAAAAATTATGTGTTTGTTGTAAATTTGTTCATGTTTGTCAGACATGGGCACTTTTTTGCCCACGCAGTAGCGGAAGTGCGAGCGCGGGCTGGAGAAAGGGAAAAACAGTTTACGGGAGGAAGGGTATGAAAAGTTGCGAAAAAATTATTTATATCCCGCCGACATCATGTTTATCGCAGTACGGCTGCGGTTATACTGACTTTGTGTACCAAACAAAGAGCATATGTTTTCCTCATAGGGCTTTCGCACGAGGCGATTTTTCAGGCAACTTTTAGTTGAAAGCAAAAATCGTCTCGTCCGAACGGCCTTTCAACTAATCGCTTTCAACAAAGTTGGTCG